CCATTTGCGTTTCTTCGGCACAGGTTTCTGTTTTTCTTGCCATGGCGCTTAAAAGTGTGCTAAATTTAGCAGAAGGTCGCGACACACCCACACACACATGCACACCCTTATCCGGATGAGAGCCGCTATGTGTGTGTGTGTGCTGGTGAGGGTGAAATGAGCTAGAAATTAGTTTATGGCGAAGGTCGTGTGAAAAAACACTACCTATTTATGGTTGTTTGGAAACTAACGAAGAGCATGAATTCATAATTTCGGTTATGGGGCTTTGAAATGTTCTGCTGTCAGATATGTTATTCTACATGAATTTATAAAAGATTCAAATATATTTAAATTTTAAATCCCTTAAAAATTTTTAAAAATTTATTATTGGCCCAAACATATGATATGTCGTGAAATATGTTGGAGGAAAAATATTTTATTTTATTTGTAAGAGTGATGTTACTGTAGCTGCGTTCCTGAAATTTTAATAATATGTGAAGTTGTTATCTTTTTAATATATTTATGTACGTACACGCATTTTGAATTAGTTCACCCAATTTCTTTTCCATAAACTTCAAAAAGAATAACATAGCAGATACGTGGTAGAAAGAAGGGGAATCCGAATGTTTTCGAGTTTTTCCCACCATACAATGTGCGTAAACAATTATAATGGGCTTCAAATGAAATTTTAAGCTTTTCATTTCTGTCACATGCGTGGCAAAGATAAACAAAGTTCGAATTTGAGGGGCTGGGGCCGAGATAAAGGCGAGCACACACAGGAGAACTCGGGCAGATGCAAATTGACATGTGGCTGACGCATTTGTTTATCCAAGCTGAATGCGAAATGTATGTGGGGTTGAGCTCTGGGCTTTCGGAAAAAGCTGGCAATTCTAATTTCGGAGCGGTTGGATCTAAGCCATCTGCTTTCGAATGCGAGCGCCTTCTGTTGCTGCTGCTGCGGTTGCCATCGATAAATAATGCTTTTTGTAGCATGCTTTCGGGCGCTTAAGATTGCGTGCGATTACGTATACGCACGCCGACATTTGCGTGTGCTTGTGGTTGTCATAAATCAACATTTACATCGTGTTTATGTTTTTTTCTGTGCAGCTGACAGACCGGAAAAGGTAGAGAACTTTCAAAGGTAAATGATTGCCTGAATGGTTTCGGGCCGCAAAAGTGGGAGGAATTCCAAATGTTGGTTTGGCATTTAATTATAGACCGTGCGTGTGTCTCTCAGCCTTCAGTCTAGATTGATGTGATGTGGGTGAACTAGACCTTTAAATCGAATTCTATTCAGAGCACATAGGACAAATTACTTCATTAATCGAAATCATCAGCATAAATTTAACGTTGATTTAATTCTCTTTTAATGTCAATCACAAACACTGAAGTACAGCAAATAAGTGTCGTTTGTATTGACAATTAAGGTTTATCTTCAATTTCTGTCTATAATAATTATGGTTCATTTGAAATGGAAATAGTAATGATAGATTATGAAGGGAAAATACCCTCGATTGGTTGGGCTTACTTAAACTGAATTAAATATGCTATTTAAGTTAGAGCACTTAACCAAATCCGATTACACATCGAATTCTATATCATTAAATGTCATATCTGACTTATTTACTCTAGTTCCGCTAAACACCATTATTGTTTAATTTCCATCATCGACTTCCTGTTCCCCTTCACTCTTATTTCATCATTGCTTGCTAAAGAACATTAATTCGTCCAACCCTAAGAGCAAAATGTTGTAAGGCCTCTGTTTCTCGGTTGATGATGTCGGGAAGTGCGTCCAAATGACTTTTCATCCCGAGCTCTTACGATTGTTCTCTTCAGAGTTCCATTCCGCCCGGGAAGTAAATACATATGTACATTTCTGAGAGCAGAATGGCGAACAGAGGGCCTTTCAATTAGCACATAAAAGCCCAGCGTGGTCGACATGGCCATGTGGGTTCTGTGGTTAGTAAAGGGGCTTCAGACTTGAAGGGAGACGACGACGGTCTTGTGGTCCACATATTAAATTAACGGCAGCTGAATTAGTTTTCAATGTGTTTTCCGCTGAATGGCAGTTTGAGAGGCACTCAACCTGTTTGCCTACGCTTTTCCAACGAGCTTTTCCTCGATGTTCGGCAAAGGCACTCAAATTAAATGCAGATGACGAATAAAAGTTTTTTATGTCCCTGTGGCATTCCGTCTACTTTTACTTATATTCCCATTACCCACTTGTGTTATGAGAAAAGTTGTCCAAAACAAGGGAAACTCATCACAGATTCTAATGATGTCATGCAGTTGTGATCCTAAGCAGCCCGAAGGCAAAAGGGAAATTGTGTCACATATTTCTTGCCTTCTATATACTAGTTAACTTGTAAAAGTTCGGATGGCGGCAATAAATTTTAATTGCTACTCGCACAGTTTGCATCCTCATTTGCTTCGACTTTTGAAAGCTGATATCCCTGGGTTCCAAGTCAGTGTTCTTCACCTTTTTCAATCCGTTCAGATACTCTCATTAAAAATGCATGTTCAGCAACACGCTCACTTACCAAAAGGGTTTAATGAGATGGGGACGACTGGACTCTGCAACCTTGGGGTCAGGTGAAAGTATTTTCCAAATTTACCTTTCGGTTGCCAAAGATCCAACGTCATCATAACAACTTTGTTTACTGCGCTTCGACCTGGCCTTGACTCGAAACCCTTGGCCTTTGTTTACCCTTAAAAAGAGAGCAAAGAAAACAGTAGAAAACCGACAAAAAATGGATATTTTCTAAGCTCAGTAGATTTTCATTTTTACGTTATTGTTACTGTATGTGTGTGTTTGTGTGAGTTTTCCCGGTTGCACAGGCTGAAACCGCAAAGTCATAAGCCCATTAGCCAGGACGAAATAGAGGCGAAAAAGCTTTTGGGAAAAAAAGGAGGGGCGGCGGGGGGCATTGTTTTAGGCAGTCCTTCGTGGGATATATATGTATATGTCCCCAACCACCGGTATGACATTGCCTTTTGCTCTGTTGATGCGGAAAATGAGCAAGGAAATAGAGAAAATCCAGCACACGCACAGGCACAGGCACGAGGATAACGACACCGGGCTAACAAGGACATCGACGCCGACGACATGTTCTTGTTAAGTTAAATTATGCATGCATGCCACGCCCACTATTACACGGAGGGCGTTCCCTAGTCGCACACCTTGGCATTTGATAATTGAGACCCGGTGAAAAGGGTTTGCCCAAAACAATCAGAACAATTGATGGCAAACATCCGAACACGAATAATTTGGCCATTGCCACATGCAATGCAAATCATTGGACTTAAGCGAACATACACATACACACACATACACATATCAGTTATAGAACATCAAAGAAACCGCACAATGCTAACAGCAATTTTGCGGTCAAATGAAGGCGCACACACAACACTCAAATAAAATAAATTATAATTCTGCCAAGTCGAAGGGGAAACGGCTGGGAGCAGCTGCAACATTTGGTCAAGAAGCCAAAGGAAAACATTTGCCCAATAAATAAGGCCGCAAAATGCTGCCGCTTGAGGAATATGCAATTGAATCGCCGGAAAGTGCAGAGGGTAAACAAGAAGAAGGCAGTCGAGGCAATTGAAATATTTATTTACTAAGGCTTAGAATGAGGAAAAGACTTGAGCTTTTCTTTTTCAATTTTGTTACATTATACCAGCACAAAAGGAAAACATTTAAGTGAATTTTTGAGAGCAACTTATCACTCAATCAAAACCTAATAATAACCCTTTTTTAGTGATGTTTTATTACCATTCATTTTAATAGTCATGCAATTACTTTAACACTCGCTCTAGGTAAGTTTTCTCGAAGCCAGCAAATGGTACTAGTGCCCATTAAATTTAACAACTTTGGCTAAGTCTTATTAACGGGAAATCAGTAAAGAAGGCTTTGCACTTGAGACAGTCGAGAGTAAAGTTAAGAGTGAGAAACAAGAAAATGCCGAACTAACAAATTGAAATGCAAAAATTCATTCCAAGAAGACTGCCTCTCAAACTGTCTATTTCAAAGCTTCCTGAAGATGTGCCTTCAAGAACCTTTTCTGCTTCTCGCGAGCAAATAAATAAATTCTTGCAAATTTTGCAAAAAAAAAAAAGAAAAACTGTGGATGGGAAAAGTACGAAATGTTTTGTCTTGGGGAGGAGTGGAGAAAACGAAAAATAGATAAACAGATGAAGGAGAACGAGAAGAGAAGAGACTGCCAGACAGAGGGAATAAAATGAGGGACAAATGCAAACGGCGGGCCACAATTTTTATGGCCCCAAAGGAAAAGCTTATTACAACAAAAAACAACAATGGCAGTGAGGCAACAATACTCCAAATTTATGTGCGAATATTTGGGAGGGGGTCGAAGGACACAAAGGAGGTTCCGAAATGTTAGTTTCCTTGGCGCGTGCAAACTGTTCAAACATTTTTAATGTCCATCTTCGTGTGGATTAACATAAAATCTGCTGTCCTCTGCCATTCGAAACCCAAATTCAGACCCGGATTTCCCCTGAAACCCCTTTTCCCCTTTGCCAAAAGTGAGGTATTTACAAGTTTATGTCCGCTTAGCTTTAAGTGCGGATGGTTGCCCCTTTTGTATTTATACCTTTAAAATGTCTTGATTTCTTACTAGGGCGAGGAATACCGACAGCTTACACATTTTATGAGCTTTAAGGAACTGGATTACCAGTTTAAATGCTTGGAGCTCGGTTAAGTTTAAACGTAAAGGTAAACGAAACGGGATCAGAATTTATAAGCTGGTTTAAGGCAATGGAAAAAACACTGAACCTAAATTTAAGGAGTTCTGTAAAGATTTTAGTATTGGTTGAGGTCATGAGATGAATTTTAAATGAGAGTGTAATTTTTATACATATGTATATACATATACATATTATATTTTTTTTATTTTGAAATGCGTGTGCTGAGGCATCTAATTTAATGTTAAAAAGTGTATTTCTCATTTCTTTTAAAACTTATAATAAATTAAATTGTAATCATATTGTTTTTTTTCCAGAATGCGCTCGTTCATCGAGGAGAACGAGAAGAACGATCCGTTGATCAACGCGCCGGATAAGAAGAACAATCCGTGGGCCGAAAAGGGCAAATGCGTTATCATGTAATATTATCGTAAACCACAGAAATACCGCCATAACTATGATAACCAGCCAAACAACAATAATGCAACCCATTCCACGACTCATACCACAACAACAACCTCAACAACAAGAACAACAACAACAACAAACACAGCAACCAATCAATATGGCTTTGGGCCACAACACCAACAACAACAACATCAGCAATTAGAGACCCAAAACCGATGTAGCGGCCAAGTTTCGGGGCGGGATGATGATTCCCTAGATCTGGTGGATCCGGTGGAGATGCAGCACTACAATAACAACTACTACTACTACTACAACTACAACTTGAGCTATGAACCGCCGGAGGAGCGTTCGATGGGCGGCGGGGGGAAGAGGAGCGGTCGGCGGTGGCAGCAGCTGGTGCGGCGAACGCGGTACGAGCTGCAACAATGGCCGCTGCTCATGCAACTGCTTTTGTTCGTGCTGTGGCTAAGCGCCAAGTTTTGGCAGCTGGTCAACGAGCAGGTGACCTACCGCCGCAGGAGGTGGCATTGACGCAGGTGGCGAGAGAAAGGACATCGGGTGTGTTGCTTGGTATGAGTTCGATCTAGGCTTAAGTTGTGAAAATTATGCCCACACTCTTACAATCTCATCTCAATAAAATTAATCAAAATGTGCTGCGTAGTGGAAGCAGCGAACCATAGTCGAACCTGCTCTGTGTGAAAATAGCCGACTGCAAACGAAGGCAGAGAACAAAGCCAGGAGACATAAATGAACACCCAGAGAAGCGAGTATCCGCTACTCGTTACTCGCTACTCGTTACTTTATCACGAACTCGAACTCGAACTCGATTCATCATCGTGCGCTCCTCATCGTTGTCGATCTTTCGTCGTTCCTCTCTCGTCGTTTTTTGCTCGTCTCTTTTACTTCTTCGCTATTCTACTCGCTCGTTCATCCCTCTACGTTCTTTCTAGCTATCGTTCCTAGTCGTTATTGCATGCCATACATCCTTAGAAGTATCGTTTCAGTATCGCTATGTATTTCTTTGCACACCCATCATCATCAACATTACATTCCATCATCCAATCCCACCCAAACCGAAACCGAAACCAAAACCAAAACACAGTAGTCGACAACGCTAACTCAATCATATCAGTCATGAACCAGTCAAAAAGGGCTAGTCAATGTCAATGCCTCGATAAATGTAACCCACCCATTATCAGTAGAGTCAGCAAAAGAAGCCTTAGAAACGCCCTGAAATCCCAAGCGAAACCAATAGATCTACAAACTTTTATAAAAGGTTTCTCCTACAAAGCTTGTCTAAGAAACTTTCCCTTGAAATGAAAACCCGATAGAAATAGATGAAACTTTGTTTAGAGAAAACTTTTTCATGACCCACAGGAAATGCGATTAAGATCAAGGGCTAACTCTTTAAGTAGATTCGTATTTTGAGTAGCGCTTTTTTATTTGGTAGCCAGGCAAACGCTAACCGTGCAGATAATTCAATTGTGTTTAATTAATTCAACATATAGAATATACGAATATATGAATACTATAATTTTATATACAACATACATACTTATAGAGTTATATGCTAGGCAAACGAGCTATTTAAAGGCAGACGCTGTAGTTACTCGAGGATGATAATATTATATTTAGTTATAACAAATATGTTTACGATTAACTAGCGGGATATTATTATATACGCAGACAACATACACAAACACTGAAAAACCATACGAATCAAACAACTAAGTATTGAGGAAGACCCCACAACATTTGTATGGATCATAGTTGAACCAGCTTAGTCAAATATTTTAGAGAGATACACAAAAGTCAGCTGAAACTTTATATGTTATATGCGTAACTGCAGAATGGACTTGACAAACCAAAAACAAACAAGAGTAAACTATATTATATTATTAACTATTATATACGATATTGAATGGGCGTGCCCCAGTGGCCGATCCCGAAATACAAGGCGCTGTTCAGCTGTTTGAAAGAAGGTCATAAAAGTATCTAGCAAAGACAATTTTATGGGTTTACGTTAATAAAATGCTAAGTTCAGCTTATCGCAATGATTTTCATCAATAAGTTAGACATATGTTTTCAGCTTTAGGATGAAAAAGATGATGAAATGAAAAAGACAACAATCAAAACACAAACACAATACATTCCACACGACACATTCTTGAAATTAGTGAAACGACAAACTGAGGTTACAAAAAAATATGAAACAGACCCTTAATGAAAAATATTTCAATTATGTAGCGACTAAAATGAACACATTAATGATATAATTAAGTTGAGGAACAAAGTAGCAAATTGAGCAGTGAGCGTAAAATTAATTATAAGTAAGTCGCGCAAAACTCTACAGAAACTCGAAATACAACAAACCGAAAAGTAAACTTATAAATAAGCAGAAAACGAAGAAGACCATAACCAAAGGAGACGCAAACATATGGATGGGAGAAAGGAGAAGTGAGAGCTCCCAGAGAAGAAGATGAATCATAACACAATAGCTAACGAACGAGAAACAAATCGTGAGGAAAATTAAATGGATCTAGGGAAATCAAGTGAAGAAGCCCAAAGCTTAACAGCACCGAACTTTTTGGGCCCCCAAAACAATGTGAAAATGGAACACGTTAAGGATAACGAGAAGCACAAAGTAGCAAGCTGCTACATCAAGATCAAACACCAGACAACCCGACGATTAAACCAAGGGTCTTCAACCCGAGAAGAAAGAAGCTGCATCTCAAAATTGAGCAGAGCAAACACACGAAACTAAAATAAGGTATTGGTGGTTACAAAAATAATATAAATCGAATTATTATATACTCATACGACGAATTGGCATATAGGGAAATGAATATAACGATGTAGTGAAGAAAAATCAAAAGGACTGAAGGCTGGCAATGTCAAAGCGGCGTTGCCAGGCTTCACAGACAATGTGGAACGCCTTGGGATGTGGATCGACGAGTGTGGCCAGACCTCACTTGCATGCATCGCATCCTAACAGTGTGTACGTCTGCTTGGAAGTTGAAATCAAAGCAAAAAGTTCAAGCTAAAGTTAATCTTATATAAATGTATAGTCTCGTACGCAAGGGCAATTAAGTTGTGTGCCTCAAGCTCAGTCCATGCTGACATAATTTAGATAGTTTCAAATATTTCCCGCACGGCATCAAACACGCGCTCAAGAGCGCACTAAGCACGCTGAGTAACCGGGCATGGAGTCCCGGCAAAACGGGTGTGAGGGTGCCACTAAAATTGAGCAAGTGTCGCCGTTCAGAGAAGGATTAGTTGCTGAGAAGTTTCCTCCGATTTGATAACATACGAACTTCCAACGGCTTCGACTGAGCGAGGGGCACTGACAAAGCTCGCTTGATAGGTGTTATCACACTTTGCCAGTATTTAATCGAAAATCGTTAATTAATCGTATTACAATTAGTCACAAACAGGCAAACCATAGAAAAATTAATGTTGAGGGTCATTTGTGAAAGGATAAACGGAACGTTAAAAATGCTAAGGAAAGGATAAATTTAGTCATTTTTTCAGCAAGTTTAAGCATTTTCACATGCAACTATATAAATGTTAAAATTAAAATAACTATTAATACTTACATATATATACCAGATGAATATTACACCAAAAGTTATTGCAAGTTAAATGAATCGACGCGAACTCAATTACAGAAACTAGCAGATAAGTGAAGACAGTTGACGATTGCACAGAAGCAGAAGTACAGTATGTGCCAAAAGCTGCGATAACCGCGAGCTGCCTTGAGCAGAACAAAAGCGATGTTAGCCCGAAGTCAAACTAGGTAAATACAAAGAACACGATTGTCTAGGTGGTAAGTTGATGTTACAGTTCATTGAAAGTGTTTAAATTATATATGGGCAAACCAGTATATTACCGATTAAAATAATAACTCAATATTAAAGATACGCTTTATGGCAAATATTACTATGTGTATTCATTAAATGTGTGTACTATTTACCAGTGGAAACAAAAACTTATTGTTACAATTTAGGGTATTAAGTCACGTATTGATTAAGATATATGGACATATAGATTAAGATTTTGAAACTTATATGATATGATTGATTCTTAAACTTGTCGAATTGCGAACTCAGACAAACAAATTCACGGTGCCGAATTCCACCCAAGGCGATACCAGAAACCAAATGAAACCAAACAAAACAATTATAATTTAGACAAAACAAAACAAACAACAAAACAAAAGCTAAAAACTAGTTAGTAAGAGAATTTTAACGCAGCAAAGAAAACCAAAACCACACGAAAAGTCGAGAGGAAAAACAGACACCAGAAAAAGCAAACACGAAACTCAAATAGTACGATATAACGAACATGTATTTAGCTGTTAAAAAACATCTACTAAAAAACAACAGTAAGCAAAAGGCGAAGAGCTAATTGACGAAAAAACCAAAAACAAAGCATAAGTATGATTATCATTAAAGGAACTTCTCTAAATAAAAGTAAACTTTGAAAATCCTTAGCGGAGAAAAACTACCCTCTCTATAAAAAAAAAAACAAAAAACTAAAAAATGTCGATTGTGTTTTATTTCCCCCAATTTCCCCGTCAACCGATGAAGCTTTCCCGACTGTTGTTCCCCGAATTGTTGATGTTGATGATGATTATTGTGCTTTGATGATGATGCTGCCTTGTGCTTTCCCCATTTTCCTTTGCATTTGCATTGCTTTGCCTAAGTTCCATTCGTACAGTATTCAGTTGGTATTATTTCGTATATATGCTTTTTGGCCTGTACATAATTGCGCTTGAGCTTCGTTTTTGAGCAAATTTGAACGTATTTCTACAGACTAACCACGAGTTCTCTGCGACTTCACTTTGGCAACCTTCGACTTTGAGTTAAATCCTGTTTCAGCAGCCTTGAGTTGACAATTGCATTTGGCGTAAGTATGGAGGGATATCAGGGAACAAAGAGAAGCCGGCGACAGTTGCTTAAACTGCTTCTGTTGTTGCCAACTTTTGCTTCTTGCCTGTTTGCCAGTTTGCCGGCTTGCCAGCTTGCCGGATAAGCAGATAAACTTTTAGCCGGGCCAAGTTTACTTTGAATTTCATAAAGTTGTTCAATTGTTGCCGAACATGTTTCGAGTAATTTGCAACCGGTGCGTATGCTTGATGAATTATACGTTTCGCTGAGTGCACTGGGACCTCAACCAAAATCGGTGGCAATTCATTTAAAGCTCCTATTCGATGACGTTTAAGGATAGTCCATTTCCCCAACAAATAACATTTTGGCTCGATAACTCAATTGAGAGGCATTCAACTGTGCCGATGACTAGCAACGCCTGACAGTAAAATTCGATTAGAAAATGGATTGGCAAGTGCTGGCCGCCTTTGTCTGCCAGAAAACAATGAGTCATGCGCCTGATTATCGCTTTTCAATGATTGAAATTGTTTTAGATTCAATGGATTCTGAAAATGTGCACAGTTTTAAATGTTGCTGAATGAAATAAAGATTTTATTAAAACCCCGAGCACCAATGAGTTTATTTTTAGGCAATCATTTCGCTTAAAGTTTTTTATAGGTTTTAATTTTTTGTGGAAATTTCTAATTTAAAATTCAGTATACTAGTGCCTTAAGTGTCTGCCCGATATTGCGCTCAAGTGGCTGGCAAACATATATCTCCATATTTAGACACATTTCATATGCAAATTGAG